CCCCCCCCCCCCCCCGCCCGACCACGTTCTCCCTTTGTCGGCGAAACGACCAAATACAATAGGTGAACCAGAAAGGTGGCTCGGCCTACAAAGATCTCTCGCAGCGACTCGTGCTGGTGGAGAACCGCCCCCGCCTCCTGGAGCTGGCCTGCTCGCTGGTCGCCCCATCCCTCCACCCCCAACCGCCCGCCGCATCCGTAACGGCGGCGGGAATGCCCGCGTTCGTGCCCGGCCTTGTGCGCAAGCTCTGCTCCTCGGACGCCCCTTTTCCCGGGAAGGTGGTGTCTCGCCCTTGCCGCGTGGCGACCGAGGCCAAGGCAACGGCGCAGCAGCCAAGCGGCTGGGTTTCGACGATGGCGCCGGCTTGGGTCTCTTCGGCTGCTGCTGGTGGTGGTGATGCCATTAGCGCAATCATCGGCGGGGGCGGCGGCGGAGTTTGCGAGTGCGCGGGCCGCGGCCCGTGCACGATCCGAGCGTCTCCTGGACGCGAGCCCTGCCTGCACGTGGAGGTGGGGGACGTCAACAAGCGGGGAGGAAGAAGCGGCGGCGGCGGCGGTTTCAGCGCGGAGAGCGTAGAGTCGACCTCCGCCGTCCGACTCCGTACGTACAGCCTGCCGACGACGGCAGCAGGGGCGGCGTCCCCTAGGGCAAGCTCGGCCGAAGGGCAAGAATCCGCGGCGGCGACGGCTGTATTGGACGCACTGGTAGCCCTTCACGCTGCGGCGGTCAGGCTGGGCATGCCGCCGAGCATCGCGGTGCCGGTCTACGCCGCGATGCTGCTGGCGGGAGTCGCGCTCCTGCTCGTGGCCCAGCCCCTCAGCGAGTCCCGGGCGTTCCACTACCTGCTGTCGGCGTTGCTCGGGGGGGTGGTCGGGGCGGCGGCGGTGGTGCTGCGCGCCGTAAAGAACCCTCACCGGTCTTTGTTCAGGTGCGTGTTGTTTTTGAGTCGGAGGATTTGGTTTGTACGGCGGCGCAAGGGAGAAATGAAGGCGGAAGCCTGAGCCGCTTAGGCGGTCTGTCGTGCTTCGGTCGGTGCCTGCGTGTTGGTGGGGACTAGTCTCGTCGACCATGGAACGTAAACACCGCCGTGGTTGGCCTTGTGTGTTGTTGTAGGCTGCGAGGGCCTCGATCCTCGCTAACGCCCCTGCCCCCTTGTCTCCCCGATCCGTGCAATGGTTGCTTTTTTTGCTGCAGGCTCCTGGTGTTGAGCGGGGTCGTGACGTGGCTTGTGGTGGCGGCAGGGGTAGACCACATCCCGTCTCCTGCCGAGCTGCTCAGCAACCTACCCGGCGTGATGTTGGTGTGTTGGCTGCTTGTGGTGGCCTCTTTTTTTTTTTGTCCTTTGAGTGTTGTTTGTGCGAGCGTAGAGTTTGGCTGGTTGTATGCCTTTCGATAGAACCATAGCCGGAACACCCTCGTTCTCGCGTTCGTGTACCGCACGCGCACCGCCCACCTTCGCGCACGCCCCCGCTTACCCCTACCGCACGTGTTATCTCTCTGCCGCCACTTCGGGACGGCTTGGAGCAGGCGTGCTGGAGAATGGAGTTGTGGAGCCTCCCCTGGGCGGGCAAGGCTTTCTTGGCAGCGTCGGGGCTGGCGGGCGTGCTCACCACCTGGCGGCAGGGGCTGTTTCTGGAGGAGGCGGACGAGACTCGTGGAACCTGGTGCGAAAAAACGCTTCTTTTATCCACCACTCGACG